AAATAAACCAGAGGGCTAAAGATTTTTCAGCGGTGGGGTTTGCAGTAAATATTGAAATTATATCACCCATGTAAAGCCCAAACTTTTTTTCCATTTTGGATAAAGAGAACAGATTGGTTAAGACCCCTTGTTGTGTTTTTTTTTTTTTACATTTATGAATGGGACTGTTTTCACCAAACAGGTTTTTCCATTTAAATGATTTCCCCTCATCTCTTTTCCTGACAACTCAAGCATTTTGGACTTCCCATCACTTTCTGTAAAAGAGACCATCATCACCAGGACCAACAAGGGTGAATCTTCCCAGTGGTGACACAGACAGCAATGAAAAACAAATTTGTAGAAAGCAGTAATGAGGGCCCTGTTACTTAAATTGCTGATATTACCCAATTCTGTATATTTAAATGTCAACAATATCTAATTGAGTCCAGTGAATCTTGGTTACATATTAGAAAAAAAACTGATGAAGGGGGAGTGTCCCAACACCTGAAATATCGTGGTTTTCGTGTTCTAACAATTAATGAAACTAGGGTTGCACCAATACCGTTTTTTACTGGCGAGTACTGATACTTCTACTGAAGTATTTGCTGATAACGAGTACCGATTTTGAGCCTATACAAAGTAAATGGACTCAAATCACACGTGATTTGAACAGGAATGTGGCGCGATTCCTGTCCGAATCACATGCAGCTTGCCTGCGGGTGCGGTGCAATTTGTGCTCATGGACTGTATGGGCTCAAATCACACTACAAAGGTGTCCGTTCAGAGCATTTGCACGAGTATTTTTGCAAATGCTAAGTATCAGCACTGATACTGGTATCAATGCAACCCTAAATTAAATCTTTTCCTGGACTTTACGATCACTGGTATGGCGTCATTACAGCGATCTACAAATCCGAATTTGCCCCAGGACTCCCTTCTTGTTAGGTGTATTCTGGTGTATGTGAGCAGCCCCACTCAAGTGAGTCAGCTTAACTAATAAACAGTTATTCACAATATTAGGTATCAAAAACATGCCTAGATCCCACCATTAAAAACCAGACAGGGGTTCCTATACACATTATATCCAAAATGTAAAAAAAAGTTTTGGTTTTACATACACTTGTTTGCTTGGCTCTTTTGCCTTTTGGTCTGTTGAGCATAATCGTGTTTGACTTGGTCACATGATGCTTTAAGCACCAATCAAAAGTTTTTCCCTTATGAGAACTACCTTATTATTTGGCTTATTTAAATTTCTAACAGATGTCTTATGATTGGCAGGAGAAAGAGCAAAAAAACTATCACTGGCATGCAAATAAAAAAAAATAAAAATACAGCCGCCTAATGAAAGTGGCTATTTGTGTACGATCAGGTTTAGATTTATAGGGTCTCTATGTGAAGAGAGGCAGGTCCACTTGGGAAGGGCCAAGTGATCCATTTATAAATCCAGCTGGCAAGAGCTTTTCATGGCCTAGAAGTCACTAGTAGTCAGAAATTCAAACTGTACAGCAAAGCGAATTGGAGATGATCAGATACCGCTACACAAAAATTAATAAAGTAAAATAGTAAAAACATTTTCTCTTATGCACTGACAATTTAAAAAATAATGAATTCTATCTCTTCATAAAAGTCTTCAAAGACATCGGATTAACTATTTTAAAATGAATAGGAGAAAATGATTTTACCATTTTGCTTTTTTCCATAATTTGTTTTTACTGCATTATGAATAAGTGGAAAAAAGAAATATCATTCAATACGGGTTTTTAATGTTTTTTTTTTTTTTTAAATGTCTGTGCTGCAGTAAATATTTGACCTATAAATGACAGCTTGCTAGCACTTGGTTGATAATCACCAACTTCAAATACAATATAAAAATAAACATTCGGCGCTGTGGACAGTGCTGCACATTAATTTAGATTTATTTCAGATAGTACAGGTGTTTGTATACCATGCGGGGGAGTCAGAAAATAAACGGAGAAATTGGATTGGAAATTCCCGAGAGTGTTCTCTTCTTGGTTTGACACCCAAACACAACGTTGGTTTAAAGTATAATTTATAGATACCCTTGATATTGGTCATATGCAGGGGCGGACTGACCATTTGGAAACTCGGGCACTGCATGAGGGCCCGGGGTCAGTAGGGGGCCCCATGAGATGCCCCTGGTACCTTTTACATAGGCTTTTTTGAGTTTGGGCAAGGACACAGGGCCCCATGATCCCCTATTGCCCGGGGGCCCCATGAGTTGTCAGTCCGCCCCTGGTCATATGTAGTGCTGAATTCAAGGGGAATAAAGAAAGAAAATAGGTGGTGGTGGTGGGGGGGGTGGGAAAAAGACCCCACAAATGAAGTAGAAAGGGATGTGTGGCGGTAAGGGGAGGGGGGATCGGCAGGATACAGGGTAGAGAAGTAGAGGTGTAGGTCTTGATTTTGCAATTTTAGGATGTTTTGTGTTAACCTTCAATGGTACCTGAACAGTCCATCCATTTGTGTTGCTGCATGTTATGGTTTGTTGGGATGTTAATGGGTATGTATAGGCAAAACTTTTTTTTTTTTCATTTTGTATAGAGTAGGGAAGCATTAGACCCTTTGGGGTTTATTTACTAAAGCTGGAGAGTGCAAAATCAGACTCACTTCTGCATAGAAACCAATCAGCTTCCAGGTTTCATTGCCAAAGCTTCATTGAACAAGCTGAGGTTAGAAGCGGATTGGTTTCTATGCAGAAGGGAGTCTGATTTTGGACTCTCCAGCTTTAGTAAATAAACCCCCTTGTCTCAGTTTTATTGCTGTCTGTGTACCTGCTGGGAAGATTCACTTTGTCTTATTCTTGTGGCCAACATCACCAAGCCAGAAAGGGGAAATCTTACATTTTAGAGATGTCATGAGAGCAAGGAAGGAGGGGAAATCTTCCAATGAGAACATTTTTCTGGTAATGCCTAAGTTGGGAATTTTCCCCAGTTTGTAAATATTTCCACTCCTGCTTCTGTTGCACCTTCAAGACAGGAAGTAAAGGGAATCTTCCCCAGCAGGACACAGAAGCAAAAACAAAAAAAACAACACAACAACATGACAGGGGCTTTAACCCTACTTCAAAACAGACAAAAAAAACCTTTGGATATAAATACATTTTAACCCCATAATGCCAGCTGTGCACATATATGTGAACGCAACACTGTGGACTTTAAAGCCCATGGGTCAGAAATATATGCACAGCTGGTGTCCCATTGGGGTTGATTTACTAACCCTAGGTTCACATCTGTGAGGGTGGTGCCGCTGTGGATCTGCATGAAAATCCGTGCAGCTGCACCACCCGCACAGAGAAATGCAGACCTGTGGATGGGTGCCATTAGTTCTAACGACACACCGCCCACACTGGAAAATGCAACCGTACTGGGAACCGAGATTCCTCTGTGGGCTGCGTTTTCCAAAGAAGTGCAGGGACTTCTCTCCCTGCGTGTCACGGGCATGGGAGTCCATTCAAATGAATGGGCTCTCGTGCCCATGCGAAGCACGGCCGCATAAATGTAAACTGGGGGTAAAGGCAAATAGACTGCACTTTGCAAGAGCTTAGTAAATGAGGCAAAGCTTCATTTTGCAAAGAATACCCAACCAGGTGCAAGGAAAAAAAAAACAAACCCTGCATTTTTGCTTGCACATGACTGGATGATGGAAGTCAGCAGAGCTTCCCCTTATTAACCAGGCTCTCAAAGTGCACAGTCTATTCGACTTTAGTAAGTCAACTGCATTGTTTGCTGGGAGCACATTCACTGGGTACTCCCTGTACAGTGACCATGCTGTCAGCAACCTCAGTCAGTATTCACACTTGGGAGTTGAGGATAGGCTCCCTATCATGTGACTACTGTGACAGTCAAATTAAAGTAAACACATGATGGGGAAGCCCACCTCCCAGCATTAAGAATGCATTAAAGAGCCCCAGCTCTCTCAGCTGAAAGGGGTTGATATCTAAATTTACAACAAAGACAAACTTTCTGCTCTCACAATGAATGTACTTATATATATCTAAAGTAGTCAGAAAACCTTCCGGACCACCACTTGTAGGTAAGAAGGGTTGGCTTACCATGATTTGTTACTGAAAAGATGAGCATTAGTACAAAGACCTGGAGGTTTTCTTTGCAAACGATAAAATCATAGCAGCCTGGGAAAGGGGCAGCCAGTGAAGGAATCCAACGTGGTCTATTCCAACACACACTCTTCCAACGATTTATTCGGGGACCACCGACATGACTAAAACATAAAGTGCCTCAGATATACTGACAATGATTTTAGCAAACTACTCTGCATTCTCAAAGATGCCTCCACTGTATGAGGCTCCAAGTTCGCTCTTGGATCTTGTGGCCCACAATGCATTGCTGCTGGTATTATTAATACAGATTTGAGTTCATAAAACACAATTGTTGTACTGGCCCCCTTTTTTTTGTTTCTGAAAGCTTTATTGAATAATTCACAAACCTTTGCTTTAATTCTCTGCTTCCTGTTTCTACTCCTCTACTGTCATGCAAATGTCATGTCCAAAGTCAGTTTGGAGATCGCCTTCATGTGCATAGACAAGGATTCAAAAGACACTGTTTGAATCAGAGGCACCCCTATAACCACTACGGATATTATAGATTTAGCTCTATATATACACAAAAATCTATCTCCATAAGCAGTGTGCCATTCAACAGTACTACTAAATGTTTTTTTTTTATATAACCGTTTAAATTACACCCATTTAATCCATGGTAAAATGCTGATACGAGAGTCTAACTGCCAAAATACAGCCTTACGGAATTAAATACAATTTACAAATACGATAATTACAAGTTTAAAACCATCAACAATATTACACCTAGAAATAAATACTGCAGGGCAGGGCAACACGAAGGTTTCTGAGGAAAAAATGATCTGTCCGTAACCGACAGAGCCTCCGGCAGAAGTTCCCCAGGTTCCCAATATGAGTTCATGTTCGTTTAGCTTGGATTTAAAATCGGATCGGGGGATTGTTGCTCCTCGTGGGCGGTCTCCTATTAGACGTCAGCCAAGTACTTTCCTTCAAGAGACAAAAGATTTTGGAGATTTTGAGAAAAAAAAAAAAAAAAGTGACAAGGAAGCTAATGCTAACCATACACTAGCTAAAAAAATTGTTCAAACTTGTTCTCAGATAACGAACATTTGGTTGTGGGAGCAAACAATAGTGCCATCATCTAATGACCGAATTTCGAATGATAAATCGTTTCATGGATTTTCATAAATGAATCAGTTTTTTGTTTTGTCTCACATGCCCAGTACAAAAAGTTAGATTTTTTAATGGTCAAGAAACACATAAACCTTTCAAGTTATTGTTCGTTTGGTAAAAGTTTTTCAACCTGTTCCTTTGATTTTTTGGCTCTGAAAAGTAAAAAAACGATTTTCAATTTGTGACCACTAACTGGAGGAAAAACGAACACACAGTCCAAATGACAGATTTTCGAACAATTTTTTTGTCTAGTGTATGGAGACCATAACTCTGGGTTCCCCACTAGAGGATCGAATTCCCCTCCACCCCACGTGTCTGTATATTTTTTTTATTTTATACTTCTTTTCAAGATGTATTCAGGCAGGTCACATGATATGTAGGGTCCTCTGTCTCTAAATCTTCCGTTTCAGACGTTCAAGATACAGTGAGTGGTGGTAGCGTGATGACATCAAGAACAATGATCTCTGCATCATTACTTTGTGAATGCAGGAAGCAATGCTGACCCCCCTCTCAGCGGGCAGGTCCATGACACCATGCACTCACAGTATGGCCTTCGTTGTCTTGGTTGAATGACCCTATTAAGCCATTCAGCCTGAAAGACAGAGGACACCTTGTGGCAGAAAAAATACAGGAGTGGATAGATCTATGGTAGCTTTCATTGCTAGAATGTATTTAAATAACTTGACATCTCCATCTTTGTTTCCTTTTTTAGCTAGTCACTGACTTGGAAGTATGCAGGCTGACAATCCTAAATGTACTGGCTTGTACATATGTTCTGGGTCACTGACTCCCTAGGTAGTTAGGAAGGTTGAAAATAGTCATGAAATATGAACAAAGCATATCCCTCTATAGTGTGTACTTCAATCCAGAGTACTAAGCGTCATTTGTCTGCTGCTTTTTTCCTCTGCTATCAGCAATGACTGACAAAGAAAACTGACACCAAGAGAAAAATGGTGACAGGGGAAGGATCTCTACCAGATTGACAATCTCTGCTCTGTTCCTGTGTGCTGTGAGGAGGGGGTTTTGTCCCTTCCCTCTAATTGCCTCTCAGAGCTCTCCTCAGTGAGCTCTTCAGTGTGTAACTTCAGCTCTCTGCCCCACCCCCTTTTTTTTTTTTTTGGACAGTTCTACAAGCCTTATAAATTCAGCACTTTCAAGGGATGAAGAGAAGACTGCAGATAAATAGGTACAACTTATGTAGGAGGATTCATTTAATCTCTGTGTATCACCTGAGGCCAGTCACTTCACTGAGTATATGTAAGGGTTTGCAACCACTTTAAGCTAGATATTTTACTAGTTCAGCAAGGTTTGAGCTTTCACAAAAAAAACAAGCCACCAATTGTGGGTCCTCTATTTCTATTCTAATTTGCATTAATGAGACCAAGTAAGATGACAATAACCATTCATCTCCTTCAATATCTGCCATGTTAAAATTACAGGTAAACGTTTTGTAAAAGCTATCCCCAGCTCTCATCCATTGCCCCTTCAATATACAGATCTAGGTCCCCACTCCAGCAGGTCCGTGGCTTTGGCCTCCCACCATGTCTGCGGCCCAGGTGTTAAAACCTAGAGTCAGGCTACCCATGCCCATCCCACAGACTTGAATAAGACACCACCTGAGCTATATGGGTACTTCTATTGTGTCATCAATGCATAGGCAGCCCAACACTGGATGTTTACTGGCTGGGCTGCAGCCATGGCAGGAGGCCACAACCATCAGACAAGGTAAGTCCCTGCTGGAGGGGGCAGATCTATAAACTAAGAGGGCAAGGAAAGGGGGGGGGGGGGCTGGGGAAAGTTTTTGCAAGACATGTACTTTGAAGTTTTCATACCTGCTGCAAACCTCTTTTTGATAAGTGAGAAGCGATATCCTCCTCCAACCAGCTCGATGTCACAGCCAGACAACGTTGACCCTTCACTAGTGAATTGTACGGCTAATGGAGCTGGTTTACTTGGGCCTTCAGTCAGCTGGAATCTTGCAAGCAGTGAGCCAACCCCTGCAAGAAGGGAAAACAAAAAGGTGACTACAACATTTCCATAGCTGTTGAAAATAACTCTGAAGAGACCTCTTATATCTTTTTTTCTTTCATACAAAAGCTGAATTTTGTAAACTGATTGTAAACTAACAAGCAGAGCCCTCAGATTCCTTCTGTATTGAATTGTATTGTAACTGCATTGCTTGTACTTATGGTGTAAAGTGCTGCGCAAACTGTTGGCAATATATAAATCCTGTATAACAGGGGTCTCTACAGTTTTTAAACAAAGGGCCAGTTTACCGTCCTTCAATCTTTAGGGGGGCCGGACTGTGGCCAGTGGGAATAGAAAATGCCATGGGCTTGGTTTACAAAATGGAGGTAATAACATTTTCACATAACTGGTGTCAGTGGGAGGAATGGTGCCCCAATCATTGATGTCAGAAGGAGGAATAGTGCCCCATTCTTGGTGTCAGAGGGAGGAAGAGTTCCCGATCATTGGTGTCAGCGGGAAGACTAGTGTTCCATCGTTGGTGTCAGCGGGAGAAAATAGTGCCCCATTGTTGGTGTCAGATGGAGGAATAGTGCCTGATCAATGGTGTCAGTGGGAAGAAAAGTGTTCCATCGTTGGTGTCAGTTGGAGAAATAGTGCACCATTATTGGTGTCAGTGGGAGAAATAGTGCTGTCTTTGGTTTCAGTGGAAGGGATAGTGCCTCGTATCAGTAGAGCGCCCCAAGGGCCAGATAAAAGTAAGCGAAGCAAATGCAATGGACTTGGTTTACTAAATGGGGGTAAAAAATGTACATAATAGGTGTCAGTGGGAGGAATAGTGTCCCATCATTGGTGTCACTGGGAGGAATGGTGCCCCATTGTTGGTGTCAGTGGGAGGAATAGTATCCCATCATTGGTGTCAGTGGGAGAAATGGCGCCCCATCATTACAGTCTGTGGGCATAATAGTGCCCCATCATTGATGTCAGCGGGAGGAATAGTGCCCCAATGTTTGTGTCAGTGGGAGGAATAGTGCCCGATCATTGGTGTCAGTGGGAGGAATAGTATCCCATCATTGGTATCAGTGGGAGAAATGGTGCCCCATCGTTGGTGTCAGTGGGAGAAATGGTGCCCCATCATTGGAGTCTGTGGGTGTAATAGTGCCCCATCATTGATGTCAGCGGGAGGAATAGTGCCCAATTGCTGGTGTCAGTGGGGGGATAGTGCCTCATATCAGTTTTAAGGGATAGTGCTTCGTATCAGTGGAGTGCCCCAAGGGCCGAATAAAAGCAAGCATAGGGCCACATCCGGCCCGCAGTTTGAAGACACCTGCTGTATAATAATAATAATTGTTATTAATTTGCATAATCCTACCTTATACCATGGAACTTTTTCTTCAAAGAGGTCTTTAGCCCCGCTACCCCCTTTCCCAATAGCACATACTCATTACTCCATCCACTCCACTGCAAGTCCATTTAGCTTTCTGGAGCAAAGAAAATACCTAGTATTAGGGTTGCACCGGTACTTGCACGAGTACTTTTACTTGTGCAAATGTGCTCGATACCTGAAACCGATCTCTTTGCGGTGCGATTTGAGTCCATACAAAATGAATGGGCTCAAATCGCACTGCGTAGCATTGAATGCGATTTAAACAAGGAATGAAGTGTGATTCTTGATCAAATCATATGCGATTTCCCCACAGTAGAGAAAGAAAGGGAAGTGCCATCTAAGAAGTGCAGCAATGGTATAAACAAACAGTTTGTTAATGTCATAAAAACTCACATGGTAAAAGTACATAATATACATAGCAGGTCAAATCCAAAACCATGGGTGCGTGTGGTGCCCACAGGGCTGGAAAAGATGTAGGAAGTTCCGGGACCCCTGTGGGTATAGGGTGGATGTGATGTCAGCTTGGGGGCGAACCGCCTATACATCTCCCCCAGCCCTGTGAGTACTGCAAGTGGCCGTGGTTTTGGATTTGACATGCAAGATATATTATGTACTTTTTACATGTGAGTTGCTATAACATTAATAAATGGTTTGCCCATTGCTGCACTTCTTAGATGGCATTTCCTGGTCTTACTGGGATCACAGAGGAGTGATGGGGGAAACTGCATGTAATTGGACAGGAATCGCGCCACATACCTATTCAATTCGCATGCAATTGCTTGCAGTGAGATTTGAACCCATTCATTTTGTATGGGCACAAATTGCACCACAAAAGGTATCAATACTTGGTATGGGCACTTGAACTCGCTGGTAAAAAAAAAACCAAAAACGGTAACTATGCATCCCCGCCTAGTATTTTAAAATGTTGAGAAGCATGTGACTCTCTTTATGTGACGATGTGGGCCAGTCACCTAGCATCAACCAGGTAAGCTGTGACTTGAGTGACTTGTAACAGCTTTTCCATCTGAATGGCAGGGAGCAAAGTAAAGAAGAGTATGTGCTGCTGGAAGGAGGGTTACAGTAAACCTGCGCTTTGCCCTACATTAACATTATTATGTCTTAGTATTAGCAAGCCCATCTACTTGGTGCACCTAAAGTTCCAGTGAATGTATCCTGGCCGTCAAATCTATATGCAGAAAAGTGGAATGATTTAGCATTTATGAGCAAATAAAACACAAAAAGAGGAAAAAAAAAAGATAAATGTAAAGGTCACGTATGTAGAAACATCAAAAGCAGACAGTCATCATTCTTCTCATGACCGCTAAGCGCTTCACAGACAAAAAAAGCTGTATACTTGTGAATAGCCCAATGCACAGAAGGATTAAAGACGAGATTTCTGTATTTTCCTTTGGGAGAGCATTTGACAGCTGAGCTAACCACGGTCCACTAAGTACGTGCATTCAACCAGCTTCTGCATCCAGCACATAGGTGGGAGCATTATAAAAATGCAGTCCATCTTTGTGCTCTAATGCAGGGATACAATCAGCTTTTGATGTTGTTAGCCAACTATTTTTAGTTAACCATTTGACCTCTAGAAGGTTTTACTCCCTTCATGATCAGGCAGGTAAGTATACCATGTTTGTTATTTTAATACAAAAAAAAATGTTAAATGTTACTTTAAAGTGTTACTAAACCCACAACAGTAAAATCAGTCTGTATATGCAGTGAAGCATGCTGGTTATACTCACTGTAGAACTTAAGGGGTTAATCCTCCACATTATGTAAAAAGGATGTTTCCTGTCTTCTCTGATCCTCCCCTTCTTCCACAGTCCCCAATCCATCTACTGATAGTACAGAGCTCTAGGAGTCAGTCTGAACATGCTCAGTTTAGGGTGTATGGCTAGAGATTTTTTTTTTCTTTGGGAGGGTGCAAGAGATCAGCACAGGGCCAATCAGCACAATCTAGACAAAGGGTCAGGGGTCATGCAGCCTCATAGGACAGTCAGAGAAGAATGAAAAATGATTAACCAGTGCTCAGCCAGACACTGACAGAAGTCACTGCTATATAATGCTGATGAGAAAAGGTATTTAGCAGTTTATATTTACTAAAATAATTGCATTTCCACGTTGTGTGTACTGTGGGAGACCAGGGTCCTGGGTTTAGTAACATTTTAGGCTGGAATTCCACTTTAAAAGAGAAAATATAGTCAAACTAAAAATAAATGTACACCATAAAAAAATAAAGTACTGTGCTCTTTAAAGTGCAACTTTAGTCAGAAAATTAAGTCCTGCTAGATTGCTTCAGACCGGCCCCTTTTGCAGGTATAGCTATGTAAAACATTAAAAATAGGTGCCTATACTGTTTAAAATCCAGTAATACAGTGTCTCTCCCTGCTCTGCACATGCTCAGTTGTGCTCTATTTCTTAGGCCGATCTGTTGTCAGCTTTAAGATTTATTGCTGTTCAGGACTCTGGGCTTCAGCAAAATGGCAGCCTCCAGCAAGAAGAAACACAAACAATGTTGTTTACAGAACACACTAATATTGGTAGCATAATTATTAATGTGGAATGTATGTTCCTTGCTACAGAACATTATTTTTTATCAAGTTTTTATGGGTAAAGTTCCACTTTAATTCCCTTTAGCCCTATGGCTAGCTTATAAACTCACCTGCTAATCTTGCCAGCCAGCTCCAGAGCATGCCCACTTCCTTTGATCAGGTGATATCACTAACCCTTCACTTCTGAATTCAGGGCAGCGTTGCCACCCTCATTTTAGCTCTGTTTAATAGGACTGAAGAGCAACTTGCTGATGTAGTGGAGGCATGACTATTACAGCCTGTATTGAAGGACTTTTGTTGACTTCAAGCAAGTTTTGCATTCCCAGACAAACCTACTGGAATGCAATAGGTGCTTAAGTCGACCATAGAATGTTCGGATCTCAGCTGGTTCAGCAGGGTTGATATTTGAACCATGTATGGGCAGGCTGACTGTACCCACGTTGATCAATCGATCAACTTGGATACAACCAGCCTGTCTGATTTTACATGTGATTGTTAGCAGCTATTATAGCTGCTAGCAGTAATTACCGTGTTCTCCTAGTGGGGGCAGCTCCCCGACCACAGGTTGCAGGAAAGAAAATCGCTAGGTCTATGGCCGGCATTAGTGCAGCCATACTTGATAGACAATCGGAATATGACCACACCTTGCCTTGTCCCTTGTTTGCATTGGTTTATCAGTGGGTGGCCATTTGTAGTCCCTCTGCTGGTACACTTATTGTGTAACAATATAATGCAATTCATAGTTATGGTAAATGTTAATATATTGCCATCCTGTGGATATTTTGGTTATGGCACCTTCCTTTTCTGTCTTACATCCTGTCCTCTCCCACCAGCTAGTGATGCATTTCCTCCTTCTTCACCGTCTTCTTGGGATGAATATGGCCGTTTGTCTCTAGGCCTCATGCAATCTGCTCACTTCCGGGGACACATTACCATGTTTTGACCTGCAAATACCATCCTTTCATTCATCTGCTACATCTTGTTGTCTGCTGTACCTTCTGCATTGCAATAAAAGATCCGTGGATGAGAAAAAAAAGGTGTTAGGGGAGTTCAGCTATTTAAAAAAAAAAAAAAGACTGTTCGCAGTGATTGTATCTGCTTTTACAGGCCAGGCATAGAGGTCTCAGAGAAGGATAAGTCACTAATACAACAACTGGAGTCAAAATGGTCCCTGTAGCCCACTAGATTAGCATACAATGTTAGTGATTACAAGTGCTGTGGTCTATTCAGCTGCCTGTGCATTACAAAACAGTCATGAGCAAAGACTGGATAGACCCCCACAATGAAACACTCAAGTGCACAATGAGCAGTGGGCTTTGGAAAAACGTTCTCCTATTGAGAGAGACAAGTAACTTACCTTTTTATTTTTTTTTTTTTATTTTTTTTAAATAATGGGTGCCTCAGAAAATGCTTAAGAGACACGAAGTAGCACAAATAGTGCTTGTATTGAACTGGCACTAGAGGTATACTTCAATGAAACAGTTACAATCATTCAATGTGTATAAGACATGTAATGTTTAACATGCATCAATCCTGACTGGAAAACAGGTAACATTTGCAATTTACCTCCATTTTCAGATTTCTGTGAAATATCTGGAATTTTCCATAATATCCTCTGTTGTTCAGCACTCCTGAAATGGACAAAGCAAGCAAAATCAACTGATAAGAGGAGACAAGTTCCACAGGGCCTAATCTGTTTAAAAAGACATAACCTGAGCTGGGTGAAGCCCAGAAGACGGGTAGTGAAGGTGCCTAGGAGATAGAGACAGGGGCCTGACTTCAAGTCTGCTGTATTAAATCCAGCGCAAACATTTGCACTCTGGTTTCTTAAAATGAACTTGTACTTCAGTTTAGAGCCGATTGTTACCTTTTTGGCCAGAAAACACCTTCTATGCACCTCTCATCTCAAAATCCTCAGGTGGCGTCTCTCCACAAGACATTCAACGAAATCATAAAAAATAAGTCCTAGCCGTTCCTCCTTTTTTTGGGTGGCGTTCCACTATAAAGCGGAGCTAAACTCAACATCAATCAACATTAATAAAAATAAAACAGTCAGCACTAATATTACTAAGAAGTATGTAAATCGGTGTTACAAAAGGACACAAAATAAATTAAATAAACACCCCCTGAATATAAACATCGGGGAGTATTGCAAGTGCTTCTGACCAAAGGGTTTTTTGTCTCAACAGTCCGTGGTTACTAAGAAGTGTGAAGTTCTTTTTTAAGATCTTTATCATAAAAATCATCAAGCAGTGTGGGAACAAAGGGAAGATAAACTAGCAGATAATGCTGTTGTTTTACCCCACATATGAAAAATGGGTGTAAAGGGTCTCTGCTTGAGGTTTCATTATGACCCTGGGAGGGGCTGGCTGCTAATCCATGGTGAAGGCTGGAGACATGGTGAGGGGAAAGCTTGAGAGGAATTTATTCTTACAGGATCGCCTTGATCCTCAAAGCGTGCTGGCCCTGTGGGGTCTAAGTAAGGAGGTGAGGGGGCATTTTGGATGTTGAAGGATTGACACGTGTGAATCACGTACACTGCACGATACTTTGCATGAAGAGTGTAGTGGGAGGACCACCTTAAGCATCGCATTTATTTTTCAGACTTTGGAATTGACTATTTGTTCACTAATATTGTGCACTATTGTGTTTTTTCACAGTATTGTTTTAGGGTTGTATTTGTCACCCTATGCACTGGATATTCCCTTATGAGGGATTCACGCTATTATCTATATATGTGTGTGTTCAGTTTTCCCCGATGTTTATATTCAGGGGGTGTTTATTTAATTTATTTTGTGTTTTGTAATCACCGATTTACATAATACTTCTTAGTAATATTAGCACTACACTGTTTTATTTTTACTGATTATTCACTTAATTGGGTATAAGGTTAGTGTCAGCAGCTTTTCGTGGGCAGGATTCCATTTAAGCGCAGGAGGTTTTTTCCTATTTTTTGTGGTAAATCAACATTAGCTATTTTTAATCCCTACACTGCTAGCATTAGTAAGTAGATAGGAAGGTATATTATATTTACTTGTTTTAATTATTTTTTTTTTTTACATGTCTTCAGTTGCTTCCTGGCCTAGGCCAAAATGACATCATAAAACCCTGAAGTCTTCATGGGCATTTCTTTTCTTTCATCTGCTTTTTTAGCTAAGCACACCCACTTGCCTGCATGCCTGAGCCAAGGGCAGATGGATTCCAGAAGTAAAATCTTGGGCAGTTGTTCCTTAATGATTACCGAAAGAGGTCAATGACTCATTCAGATAACAAACAGTTTACAACATTGTTGATATTGACATGACAGGCAGAAGCATTGGTCAACAAGTTCCCTGAATGCTGACTGCATGTAAATGCTTGCCAAACATTTCCATGCATGCACATCAAAATATGGCCATAATTACAGCCCTGAATGGAATGGTGTGCTTTTCGCAGCTAAGTGACTGGGTCCATAGACTTGTATACAGCTTCATACAAAATTATACGCTATACACAAGTCCTAACCGAAACATGGTGTGCTTTATTCTTTTTCCCTGAGGTCATTAAAACAATCCTAATGTATACATGCCAGTAGCAAACATTGTAAACTGGCTGCAGGATTACAATGCAGTTGCCTTGCGATGCTTGCACACACACCTACAGATGTTTTCTCAAGCTCTCCAGAATGCCATTATACGGGGGGGGGGGGGGGAATCTAATATGCAAATATGGACATTTTATATATTTTAAAGCCGGAACTGTCCCTGCCACAATTACACATTCCTATTGGCCCATCACTGCCATTGGTATCCCTACTGCCAATAGGAAGCTGTGGGAGGGGACAAGTTGCTAGGAAGTTTTGGACTTTGCATTTGTATGAATTAAACCCATCAGGCTGATCCCAAGAAAACCCAGAACATTAATAATAAATGCAAATATTTACTTAATAAACAGTATATTCAGCAAAATTTATACAGTATGTTATGGTGCCCTGTTTAAAGGCATTTCCTTTATATAATGCACATTGATCTGTAAGAGGGCAGGTCGCAGAGTAGAGGCGAGCGTAGACTTGAATGGGGGAGCATTATGCACATATGCATGAGTTTGAAAGAGCACATGGACTTTATTAGAAATTATAAAATTATTGCACGAATTTATGGAAGTATTTTTATAAGTAATATATGCACCCTAGTATGAGCACGTGCTTTCTGTCAGTTCCCTGACAGCTGCAGGACACGCTGATCTTGACAGAAGAGTTTCTCTCTCCCGATCAGCAGTGTTCCCTGCAGTACACACCCCCACCCCCTAGTAAAACACTCCCCTCACACAGTTAACCCTTTCCCTGAATAATAAATTTAACCCCTTCCTCCCCAATGCCATTAGTACAGTGTCAGTGTTTTTTTTTTTTTGCACTGATCACTGTATTGGAGTCACTGGGGATGTCAGTGACCCCAAGTCAGTACCCCCCAATGTCAGAATGTCCACCGCAGTCCCACCATAAGTCGCTGATCGCCGCCATTATTAGTGTTATTAAAAAAAAAAACTAAAAATCCCAGTATCTTTCCCGCCATTTGTAAACGCTATAATTTTCACGTAAACCAATTAATTTAAAAGTAATGGGTTTTTTTTTTTTTAGCAAAGACATGTCGCAGAATTAATTTTGGCAGAAATTTATGACTAAATTTGATTTTTAAATTTTTTTTTTTTACTGGACATGTTTTATAGCAAAAAGTCCAAAATATTGTTTTTTTTCCTCAAAATTGTCAGGCCTTTTTTTTTATAGCGCAAAAAATAAAAACCGCACAGGCGATCAAATACCACCGAAAGAAAGCTCAATTTGTGGGAAAAAAAAATGGATGTAAATTTCATTTATGTACCGTATTGCATGACCGCGCAATTTTCAGTTAAACTAGCGCAGCGCTGTATAGCAAAAAAATGGCGTAAATTGCAGTATCTACACCATAGTTTGTAGACGCTATAAATTTCACACAAAAGCAATCAATATACACTTATTGGGATTTTTTTTTACCAAAAACATGGAGCAGAATACATTTTGGCCTAAATTTATAACCAACTTTGAGTTTACTATATATTTTTTATAGCTGAAAGTAAAAAATATATTTCTTCAAAATTTTTAGCCTTTTTTTGTTTATAGCGTGAAAAATAAAAAAGCGCACAAGTGATCAAATACCACCGAAAGAAAGCTCTATTTGTGTGAAAAAAAGGACGTAAATTTCGTTTGGGTGCAGCATTGCATGACCGCGCAATTATCAGTTGAATTAGTGCAGCGCCTAGTAGCAAAAAGAGGCCTGGTCATTAAGGGGGGGGGGTAAATCCTCTGGTGAGCTCAAGTGGTTAACCTCATTTTTTATTTTTAAATGAAAAGTAATGGGGGCAATTGTACAATTGTACTCTTGTTCGAAAACTCTCCATCCTGCTCCCGAAACAAGTCTGCAAACAAAGCTATTTACTGAGAGTTTTGTCATCTGAAGAGGCAGGAGGATGATGTCACAATCTCCACCTCAGCCAATCAGAGGAAGCTTTTTTATTTATTCATATAATACAAAGTTTCCGGTGACTGAATGAACAGTGCTCAGCCTGACTCTATTTTGTTCCAGGAGTGGGACGGGAACTTCTCATCTCGCTGCCGAGTGCAGTACAATATCCTGTATGTAGCTGAGGCTACATACAGTTTATACAGTGCACAAAGCCACGGCATCTGAAGGTAATAGTTTACACCAGGGGTTATAAACTTTCTAAAGGGCCAGTTTACTGTGCTTCAGACTTTCGGGCAGGGGGGGGGGGGGGAGGCCATAGCCAGTGGGAGTAGAAAATGTCCCATCTATGTTAAAAGCGGATATATTAATGCCCCAGTGGGAGGAACGGTGCTCTATCGCTGGAGTCAGTGGAAGGTATAGTACCCCCACCGTTGGTGTGAGTGGGAGGAATAGTGTGCCCTATTATTGGGGCCAGTGGAAGGAATAGTGCTCCATCATGTCAATAATGTCAGTGGAAGGAATAGTGCCCCATTGGTTGATGTCCCCATCATTGGGTCAGTGGGGGGAATAGTGCCCCATCATTGGTGTCAGTGGAGGGAATAGTGCCCCATCATTGGTGTCAGTGGGGGGAATAGTGCCCCATGATTGGTGTTAGTGGGAGGAATAGTGCCCCATCATTGGTGTCATTGTTAGGAATAGTGCCCCATCACTGTTAGTGGGAGTCATCATTGTGCAGGAATTATTGCCCAATTATTGGTGTCAGTGAGCGGAATAGTGCCCCATCATTGGTGTCAGTGAGAGGAATAGTGTCTTGTATCAGTGGAAGGAAAAGTGTCCAAAAAGCCACATAAAAGAATACAAAGGGCTGCATTCAGCCCCAGAGGCACAGTTTGGAGACTGGTTTAGACCAACTTGGCCCAAAGAACCAATTAAACTTCACTAAAAGCTGGAGATCTACTTTTAAAAAAAATGCAGGTAAAAGCAAAGAAAAATCCAATATTTAAAATGCTTACTTACAGTATTTTTTAACTTTCAGTAAACGATTTATTTAATGGACTTGCAATATGCATCTGAACTTGCTAGAAAATGTGATTATTCCAGAAATCCATTGCCTAGAACAGCCCCTTCTTCGCTATATGCCGTAGCCTTTTCCTCTTCTGCGAGTGTCAATGCTGGCCCAGCTATCCGCCCCTTCCTACATAACTATTTATGTAGCTGCTGGGGGAGGAGTTTAGAGGAATACTAAAGAGTATCAGTGAGTGACAGCTCTGAATCTGCCGGCATCACATCCAAGACAGTGGCACCAGCAGCAGTCTCAGATATTTTGCATATCTAAACAAAGGAGACTTTTACAGGTTAATAACGTGTTGTATATGTAATATGCACTTACAGGAAAATTGTTGTTGAAACAAATGGTGTGGCAACAGAGTTTGTTTAAAGAGGACTATGAACACTGCTAACCGCATAATTGTGATGTACCCAGGGGCGGACTGACCATTTGGAAACTCGGGCACTGCCCGAGAGCCCGGGGTCAATAGGGGCCCCATGAGATGCCCCTGGTACCTTTTTCATAGGCATAGGCTTTTTGAGTTTGGGCAAGGACACAGGGGCCCCATGAGTCCCCTATTGCCCGGGGGCCCCATGAGTCCAGTCCCCCCTGGATGTACCTTTAATGTTCAATAAACCTTTTCTGTTAAAAAAAAGAGGACTATGAAGTGCCACTTACCAGACAGCAGGAGGCAGTACAGCTTGAAGCTTTGTTACTCCTCCATCTATAGGGATAACAAACTGGACATTGTTCAGCGCTACAGGTGTGGTCATGGCCTCAGGGCTGTACTTGTAATCTATTCGGAGGTCTGTGCTGGTGGGGTCACACCTCCAGTTTACAGCAAGGTTCAAAGGAGTGGACTGAAGGCCCTGGGAGGATACCTGGCAAGACAGACAAATGCCACATTTTCTACAAATGTCTGGAATGGTGTGAGATTCTCATTCAGTTTTTCAGGGCTGTGCATTAATATTGGTTATTCAGTCACTGAGGCCATTACCTGATATTTCAGCATGTCTACATTGTAATATGTGGCTTGCGGTTTCTGCTCCGATACTTTCTTCAGATGGGTCATTAGGTTTGGCATGTTCACCCAGAATTCCTTTGCGTTCGGAGTTGCCTGTGTGTTGTCGCTGATTGGTAAAATAATATGGATAATATTAGTCATCCTTCTTGTTTTTATGTCACATAACAACCTTCTCCTACAGACTACAGTACTGCTGATTTCTAGTAGAACAGATCTGCTGGCTGTGAGACACACAATGTTCTCTTCACTACGGACAGATTTAATTAAAACAGAATTATATAGTCTGCTACCATCCACCTATACCTGTTATTCTTTTCGGAGAAAAAAAGAAAGAGAGAGATCAACAGACGCATTCTGGCATACAGTACCTTTAAAGCCGCTGGGAGCCAATCACTTGATGCGCCCTTAGAATCAGTATAAGCATCTCCTTTTACAGGGTTGTTCGAAGAGGAGTTAGAAGGGGGGTGGGAGCAGCTTTAAATCTAATTAGATCAATCCTGAAATTCCAAAGTTCCTGAAGTCTCTCCTGATATGTTTTGTCCCCCGGTCACTTTATCAAATATCATCTTTGTAACTTTTGTAGCCCTGAGGAAGGAGGATTTGTGTCCCCCTGAAACACACTGGCTGCCTCTTCTTTTATTACTTCCGCAAGCGACATTAAAAAAACGAGTTCAGACTCCTAAAAGCTGAGCATACGCTTTTTTTGTTTTTTTTTTGAGGCTGGCTGAAAAAAAAAAAAAAAAAAAAAAGGTAATGGATTCCTCCATCCACATAAACAAGGTGGATTGAGGAATCTCCCCTGTTCCGCCTGGACATTCTATTTTGACAGTGAAACCTGCTGCTATCAGAATACACTAATCAGAGGCTATAGCAGATTTGCTGCAGCCTCTAACTGCCTCTTGAGAGAAGTCAATGGTTCAACATGTCCCTTTGACAGAAGTCAATTAAGAAATTGACTCCTGTCAAATGGGGAAGCCCACACAATGATCAAAACTCAGCCAGTCCCTGCTGGATTGACCAAATTCTGATCAGTGAATGGTCTGTTTAAAGTGATTCTAAAGGTTTGTTGTGTTTTTATTCTTTTTTTTTTTTTAAAACCACAAACATGTCATACTTATCTTCTCTGTGAAATGGTTTTGCACAGAGAGGCCCAGATCCTCTTCTTCTCGGGTCCCTCGTCAGCACTCCTGGCTCCTACCCCTTGACCAGTGCTTCCAACAACAAACCGCTCCCGAGCCCTGCTTTATGCGTCCATAAGACATGTCCACATCCCCCCCCGTACTCTCATCATTGGCTCACTGGCTGTAATTGACAGCAGTGAGAGCCAATGAAAATAGAGAGACCTGGGACAGCTGAGGCTCCTGTGCACATCGCTGGATCCAGAGGGTGCTCAGGTAAGTATAAGGGAGGTGTTGTGGGGGAAGCAGCACTCATAAGGTATTTTGCTTGGCGCTCATTTTGGCTCAACTACATTCTGATAATATTGGGACACTCATTTTCAATGACATCCCATGAGTAAAACAGCCCATAGATTATGCATATTGCTTGATTGCCCCATCAACACAGCGTTGACTGTGCTGACCCTTCCACACTATTGTGTTCTGCTGGCTGGGAGCCTTCCCTCCTGGCAAAATACAATGATCACTGCTGGAGGCTATAGCTGTCAGCAGTGATTGCATGAAAAAAATTTGACAGACTGGTTGTACCGAAATTGATTGATGGATTGACTTCAAGTACAACCAGCCTGCCCATAGATGGATTGAATGTTGGCCGGTCCCTGCTACATCAGCCAAGATTCAATCCATCTATGGCTGGCTTAAGTAAGCTAGAACTTATGCAGATTTATCTGGTAACTTGTTCCACCGAGTCCACTTAACCACTTCCCGACCGGCCGTTGAATATAAAGGGCCGGACGGTGGCAGTACAGGGTCGGGTGGCCGTTTATGAACGGCCTCCCCGCACCCTGCTTGTGCGCGCTCCCTGGGAGCGCGCAGCACTGTGATCCGGTGCCCGCTGTGTCCTCCGGACACAGTGAAACACCGATCGCAGGACGGGACCTCTGTACGAGGTCCTGATCATGTGATCACTGATTGGCCAATCAGTGATCACATGCAAAGTAGTAAGCAAGATGTCACTTGTGACATCATTGCTTACTACGTGTGAAATCTGTAAATGATCACAGAGGTCACATGGTACAAGGCTATTCACAACAGCCTTGTACCATGTGACAAGCTGTGACCAATCACAGCTCACTCAGTACTTCTCAATGAGTGCAGGAATGCACACAGAGAGAAAGAGAAAAGATTGCTTTTACATCCTATACGGGTGTAAAAGCAATCATTGTAAGAAAAAAAAAAAAAAAAAAATCTTCATCACCCCCCACAAGTAGTACAGTGTCACCATGGTGACACTGTATTGCTAGGGTGACAGTATGTAAAAAAAATAAAAAATAATATAAGAAAATAAAATGTAAAAAAAGTTTAAAAATTATAATTTTTGGTTATAAACTAATTTGTTTTGTTTTTTTTTTTACTAAAAAGATAACGGAATACATTTTGGCAAAGATTTATGATGAAATATTATTTATTTGCAAAATTTAAAAAAAAAAAAAAACACTTTTGTTCAAAATTTTTGGACTTTTTCATTTACATAGCAAAAAAAATAAAAATCCCAGCAGTGAATAAATACCACCAAAATATAGCTTTATCTGTCTCAAAAAAATGGTAAAAAATTAATTTGGGTACAGCGTTGCATGACTGCGCAATTGTCATTCAAAGTGTGATAGCGCTGAAAGCTGAAAATTGCCCTGGTCAGGAAGGGGGTAAAAGTGTCCGGTCTGGAAGTGGTTAAAGCAGAACTAAATACCCCACAATACTTACCTTCTCTCCAATGAGCCAACATCTGCGCAGTCCCCTGCCAACACTGGCATCCTCTTCAACTGTTTTGATTGGCTTGCACAGGATGACAGAACTCCCACATATGTACAGGAGTTTAGTCATCCTGGCACACAGACACTGTACCGGAAATATAAACTTAGATATGAATGTGCATTTCAGTATACATTATGCAGAACGCCGTGAACAGGCAGGTACGTTTATTTTCTTGCAGATGCGATAAAATACTTAGCCAGCCTGCTCGCAAGATTTTCATATTTGATTTTAGTTCTGCTTGGATAACGAATCCAAGCCCCGGCGAAGGTGGAGTGAGCTGGTTCATGAAACGCTTTGGCTGTTTTAAGTGATCACATTAGGATTCATTAAAAGAGAATTTTGTCTCCCCCCCTCCCCAAATTATACTTAGGTGGATGCTGCATCTGTCCCCCGCTGGCTCCCCGTGTGAGAACTCCATGAACATGACCGCTGATCATGAAGTTCTCACTTCGGTGTGAGCAGAGAGCGGTGACTGTCAGCCACCTCTATCTGCTCTGCACCGCCCCCCCCCCCCTGCTCACTGAAGCACTGGGCTGTGAAAAGAGCTGAGCCAGGTGCCGCTTCAGACTCTCTATAATCGGGGTCTTTCCGCGCCCTAGACTGGCTGAGTGACATCAGGTGATAGCGGGCTTCAGCCCGCTGTCAGCTGAAAATGGATCACAGGAGTGCAGAATGAACTGCACCTCTGTGATCCGCAGGAGTGAAGAACGAACTGCACTCCTGTGATCTACTGGAGAAGTACATCTAAAAGAGCTTCGGCTATACTTCGCTTTTTAAGGACTTGGACTCTTCCACCATTTCTTTTGGAGGTCCTTCTGTGTTTTACCGTTTGAGTCACATTCTGGGTACGCATTGAAGGGAGGCCTTGCTTCATATGAGCAGCCTTACCAGAGCCAGTGAGCTACCTAAATTATTAGATGTTCCCCTTTTCATCAAACAAAGAAGTTTTGAAGTGCCTTAGTAACTCTTATGTCCTTTTTCAGGTCAATATTGCCATATGTATCTCTGCTGCGAAGATTTATCCTAGACATTTGTCCTAGTGATCAAGGTCACCAAGACAGAAAGTGATGGGAAATCCAAAAAGAAATAGAGGGACGCTTCATTGAGGACACCTTTTGTTGGTAACAACTGTTTGAAAGGGGATTTTCCCTTCACTACAGAGCCATTTTGCTGTCAATTGTTTTGTGACTATAGGATAGAAATCTCCCCATGGCAGTGTGTCACAGAAAAACGTCACAAGGGTTCTATCCCATCTCTAAGCCACCCAATACTAAAAACAAAACTGTTGTGGCTTGAAAACATAGCTTAGTCTACCCAAAATCAATACCAAGAAACCCACCAGCTGTATTCTGTTCCAGTCCAATGAGAAGTAGCTTTACTAAGCCATATACAAAAAACATGCAAACAATACTCATTAATCCTGTGAGAAATCCAGTGAGCTCCTAAATTCCTGTGCTCTCTGCTGCTCTAATATCCCGAGTGATGTTATGAGCTCTGCCCAGTTCACCTCAATGAACTACAGAACACCACCCAGGTTATGGAAAACAGGAGAGGTGGGGGTTGTTCTGTAGTCATGCCCTAGGGTGATAGCACTGCTCCTCCATCAATACAGTACATTGAGAGAACATTATGAGCCTAGGGTAGGAAGTGTGTTAACAGCAGGATCACCAGTTAAAAATAAAGAGTAAAAAAAAAGAAAAAAAAAAAAGGAAAGGAAATAAATTCGGCCACCACATCATGGGCTAGCAGACTGTAATATCTTATACTTCTGTTCTTGGGCTTAGATACATTTTAAGTATAATTAAAGACAAAATTTTTTTTTAGTTTTGGAAAAAGTGGAGAGGGATTAAAACACCTATTAGGTTTTTATTGCTGCCCGTGTCTCTGTTAGGGAGATTCCCCCTCTCTCTGTGTCCTGTTTACCATTATCATTGAAAGTGAAAGTAAAAACAAATCCCAAATTTTGGGTTTCTCACAGAAAAGAAATAGAGGGGAAATCTTCCAATGAGGACACTAGTTCTGGTGACCTGGGCGGGAGCCCAAAGGATTCCCTTAATTTGCAGGAATTTCCTTTCACTTCCTGTTTTGGCTTTGGAACAGGAAGTGAAGGGAAATCTCGCCAATGGGACAAAAATGAACCTTACAGTTTTGTCTACAGTTCTACTTTAAACTACTAATCAAGGTCAGTTCTTATGTTCAGGTTTCATTAGATAAAGGTAGTGTACTGACCAGCACAACAACTGTGGGTTTGGCAACACGTGTTCTAGTCGGCTGTAGTTGGTAATCCGGAATGTCAGGGGCACAGGCGTCGGATTGTTGGAGAAATGCCGGGTGATACCGGCTGGGAAGGACAAAACCATTTCACCAGTGATTTTCACTATACACCTGGGAAAGGCAACACATTGTAATTACACAGAATGTAAGTGATAGTAAAGGCATTTTGTTTCTAAATAACAAACATGTCAAACTTACCTACTCTATGCAATGGTTCTACACAGAGCAGCCACGATCTTCCTCGGGTCCCCTGCCGGCCGCTCCTGGCCCCTCCCTCCTGCCGAATGCCCCAGAGCAAGCAGCTTGCTATAGGGGCACCCAAGCAGACTCACTCCTGAGCTGCTGCTCTGCACGTCCATTCACACACAGAGCAGCAGCTTGGCCCCGCCCCCTCTCATTCCTCTTTGGCTCACTGGCTCCCACTGCTGTCTCAGCCAATAAGGAGGGAGAGTCCCCGGAGAGCCAAGGCTCACATTGCTGGGTTGCGATGAGGCTCAGGTAGGTATTAGAGGGGGCTTCACACAGAAGTTTTTTTTACCTTCATGCATTCTATGAGCCCTTTCATTCTATTAGCCTTTACAACCACTTTAAAGTGTTACTAAACCCAGGACTCTGCATTCACTATATCTGGTCCCCCCGGACCCTGCATTCACTATATCCGGTCTCCCCGGACCCTGCATTCACTATATCCACTCTCCCCGGACCCTGCATTCACTATATCTGGTCTCCCCGGACCCTGCATTCACTATATCCACTCTCCCCGGACCCCGCATTCACTATATCCGGTCTCCCCGGACCCTGCATTCACTATATCCGCTCTCCCCGGACCCCGCATTCACTATATCCGCTCTCCCCGGACCCTGCATTCACTATATCCGCTCTCCCCGGACCCCGCATTCACTATATCTGGTCCCCCACAGTACACACTACATGGAAATGCAACCATTACCTCCTATGAGCAGGCAGTTTTACACCGACAGAAAGAATCAATGAACTACCACAGAGCTGAACAGTGCCGGGTGGTTCATTGAGAACTACAAGCCGACAGGCTGCGCTCTCTTTGAATTGTGGCAGCTAGTACGGGAGAAGATCCTCGGTTCGCAGCCACACGGAGGGGGGATTAGGGGAAGAGGTGTCTGATGCTGAACATGTTATATGTACACCCTAAATATGACTGTGTAATATTATTAATAATAACATGTAACTCGTTCAGAAAAGTGAACTTATCCTTTAATTCAGTGTGCATTCAACCATAGTGACTAAGGAAACATCAGAATGCAGATCCACGTAAACACTCCGCTATCGCCTTCCGGATCTTTTCTGCTCAGACACTGATACTCCCCCTCTTTGTCCTTCTGACCGTCGTGACCCCGACGGAAAAACAGAAAAAATAGCGCAGCTTTTGTTACAGGTTTGGCAGACACACCAGTCAGCACCGGCAGATCACATGACTGGGGTACAATTACACAGGCAACTCACTTGTTCGGATCGGCTCCTTTGAAATAAGCATTGACCGTCTCAGTGAAGGCAGCTGCCACGGGCAGGGTGTCCTGGGCCCCCATGGTCAGGGGGCTGGGCCCTCGGGAGGATCCTGCAAGACAAGGAGCAGCTGCTATATTTTGTTATGGGAGTAAGGTTCTTGAATTGAAAACAAGACATACAACACTCACAAGCACCATGACACATCTACACTTAATCTAACAAGACACAACCACAAATTCCATAAAGAAGAACTCCGGGTTTGATTGAAAATCAGGATCGTTTTAAAACGAGGTCTTTAAAGGGAAGTTGCCATCTTTGACATGTGGGAGCTGCTGATGCAGACATGTTTTTAAAGGTGCAGGTCCTCTGGCTGTCTGGATCCTATTTCCACTCTTCAGTACCAAGTGAGTCTCTGACCTGGAGTTTGCAAGACCTTTGGGACTTACCTGGCCACATTCTTGTTACAAATCATTGATTAACAAGGCAGTGAAGTAAGGATCAGAACAACACAGGAGCCTGCAACTGCAAAAGCAAGTAATGACAGCTGCAGCATTATCCTCGCTGGTTCACTTTTAATGATTCAATATAGCCAATTAACACATTTCTTCCTTATTATGGAAAGTAGCTCATTTGCAGCCAGTGCCTGACACCCTCGACGACTATGTGCCCATCCCCTCCTCCAGCATACTGCTAATAAGGCAACGACATTTATACATGGCAAGTAAATGAAAGCAGCATTGCATCATGGGAGACAAATGTTTGTACTATCAGTTCAGACCTGCATAGATGTACCATGCTAGAGGGAGGAGGAGTGGTCACACACAGGGGTAAATAGTCACAATTTTCCATGTTTTCAGACAGAATCCCTTAGGGACAGTATGAACTTTAAGAAACTTAAAAAGTGTTACTAAACCCACAACAGTACAATCAGTCTGTAGATGCAGTAAAGCATGCTTGTTATACTCACTGTGGAACCTAAGGGGTAAACCCTCTGCCTTGTGTAAAAATGCAGTTTGATCCTGACTTTTCTGATCCTCCCCATCTTCCAGTGTCCCCCTCTTATCTCCTGATAAGACATATCGTGTGGAGTCACTCTGCACATGCTCAGTTTGGTTTGTATTTCGAGAGAGGTTTTTATTTTTTTTTCCTTGGGAAGGTGCATGTGATCAGCACAAGGCCAATCAGCACTGTCCAGACCGTGTAATCTCCTCCTACAATCTTTAACATGTGCTCTCCTGGACACTGATAAAATACTGCTATATACTGCTGATGACAAAATGTATTTAGCAGTTTATATTTATTAAAATAATTGCATTTTCATGTTCTGTGTACTGTGGGAGACCAGATATAGTAAATACAGGGTCTATGGAGACCAGATATAGTAAATGCAGGGTCTGGGGAGACCAGATATAGTAAATGCAGGGTCTGGGGAGACCAGATATAGTGCATGCAGGGTCCGGGGAAACCAGATATAGTGAATGCAGGGTCCGGGGAGACCGGATATAGTGAATGCAGGGTCCAGGGAGACCAGATATAGTGAATTCAGGGTCCGGGGAGACCATATATAGTGAATGCAGGGTCCGGGGAGACCAGATATAGTGAATTCAGGGTCCGGGGAGACCATATATAGTGAATGCAGGGTCCGGGGAGACCATATATAGTGAATGCAGGGTCCGGGGAGACCAGATATAGTGAATGCAGGGTCCGGGGAGACCAGATATAGTGAATGCAGGGTCCGGGGAGACCAGATATAGTGAATGCAGGGTCCGGGGAGACCAGATATAGTGAATGCAGGGTCCGGGGAGACCAGATATAGTGAATGCAGGGTCCGGGGAGACCAGATATATAGTGAATGCAGGGTCCGAGGAGACCAGATATAGTGAATGCAGGGTCCGGGGAGAGTGGATATAGTGAATGCAGGGTCCTGGGAGAGCGGATATAGTGAATGCAGGGTCCTGGGAGAGCGGATATAGTGAATGCAGGGTCCAGGGAGAGCGGATATAGTGAATGCAGGGTCCTGGGAGAGCGGATATAGTGAATGCAGGGTCCTGGGTTTAGTAACACTTTAAGATTTTTTATTAATACCGATAATGGCATCATGTGATGTGGCCATTTTACCTGAACAAATAGCGGAGGTCTTCTTTAATAAGGAATATTACTGGACAATGGTGCGTCTGTAATAAGTGTTGTACCTCATAGCTACCAATCAGTTCCAACCTTGTTTTCTAGTTTCTAAATGACTGCAAAACTTTGCAGTCATTTTGCTACAGCTAACTGCCCCAGCCTTCCCACTTCCCAACACTACCCATACATCCCAGTACCATGTACTTAACATTTGCATTCGCATATAAGCCTGCATAGTTATTGCATTCCGTATTCCTTGTGGCCCACAGCACATTGTACTCCACCAGGCTCATTCAATAAAACAATGAAAAGGTGAATGGCAATGTACAGCCAATCAGACTGCACTACACTGTAGGCAGATCAAAACCAATGATTACTGATTGGTTGCTTTGACATCCTGCACATTGCACTTAGTAATAAATAGGAAAGAATTAAAAAAAACAAAAACCATATGCGTAACCGCTTATTATCAGTGCATATGTAAAATGCAAAGGTGGGATACATTTTTAAAGAATATTGCATGACAGTTTTCCACAGTGCTTCACCGATGATATGGGCAATCTGCAGACTGGCTGCATTCAAAATGCACATTTTACCATAACATACCTAAATAGGTGTTGTGTGATGAGCATTTTAAATGGCACCCCAACGTACATATACAACATGCTACAATGCCCCTGCATTAAAGCACACCACAATGCACAAATGTGAACACGGTGCATTGTGGTGCACTGTGTTGCAAAAATTGGTGCCGGGGTGTTTTTCATGCATTGAGGAGCATTCGTAGTCCATTCAAAATGAATAGGTTGCTAAAAGCCAAAATGTTTTTTATCCATTACCTACACTTTTATTTTTATCATTTTGTTACCTGTTTCTAATTTCCCTTCACCTCCTATCCTGTAGACACAGCAAGAAGCAAAAGAAAACCTCTCCAAATTGGGGAAACCGCCTTAGACAGCTCCATAGACAGCTGTCACCAGAACAAGTGTCTCCCACTGAAAGATTTCCCCTCTATTCCTGTCCTGGTAACATTGCAAAATGTTGGGATTTTCCCAGGACAAACCGAACCAGTATGTGACCTCACAAAAGTCCTTTTGGCTGAATAGGCATACAGTCCTACAGACACACCCCAAAGTCATGTGGAAAGCCTTCCCAGAAGAGTGGGGGCCTTCATAGATGCAAGGAAGGGGGGTGCAACTCTATATTAATGCCCTCGGTTTCTCAATCCTATTCCAACAACCTCAAACAGGCATGATAGTTTAATGTTCACTAATAGCCATATAGTGTGCCTTTTCATTTTGATTTGTAGTCAGATATATATTTAAAAAAAAAAAAAAAAAAAAAATACTGTCTTTCAAGAGAATTTGGTTGGGCAGGATTGTCCCTCATTGTTACTGTGATTGGCTGACTGCATTCCCAAAAATTGCAGCCAAATGTACAGAATATGAATGTGACAATCCCTCCCCCCCTCCCCATTCCCACATCATGTATGCATTTGGTGTACTTGCAAAACCTCAGATTTTGGGCCCTAAATGTTTTCTAAAGTATGCCCAATGAGTAATGTACATCTAAAGGAATGACAATACCTACAGAATGGGGTAGGAAAGAATATGCATGAAAGCCTTTTAAATCCTTGCAGTGTTTAGGGCCTGTTTCAATAGGGATTTGTTCATGTCAGACCTGTTTCTCTCCCTTTGCAAACCAATGGTGCTGCAAAACTAGATTGAATAGATGATATATTGGCGCTGGAGAGATGGGGTTAAATATTACAGTCCCATAGGTAGTAGGGAGGTATTCAGCTATTAGGATAGCACAGTCATGAGGCAGCACCCTATAGAGTTAAGCTGGACTCTGTAGTGGAGATAAGAGGAGAGAGAGGGGTGCCAGACTAAGTGCTGTATTTGACAATCATTTACTGCACACAATGGTATGTAACTCACAAGAGGTAAGTAGTTAGCAGGCATGAATACATAGGGACGTCATCCAGAAGAGGTTCCAGAGGCAGAGAAGAGGGGGTAGATGGACATCTGGGGGCCACGGCTGTGGTGAAAGCCAGGTCTCTTGACGCTCATCGAGTCCTCTGCAGCGTGTAGCAGGCTGTGTCTTGTGTATGGAACCAGGCTGGAATGCAAGATGGCCACCAGGCGGAAGTGACGTCACTACGGGAACGTGATGCCGCAGGAAGGGGCGGTAACGCGTTTCAAAGCTATTTGCTTGTTTGTCAGACCTCAGGCTACATGCTGCAGAGGACTCATTGTCATGTGATCTGGCTTTGACCACAGCCGTGGCCCCCAGATGTCCATCTACTCCCTCTTCTCTTCCTCTGGAACCGCTTCTGGGTGACGTCCCTATGTACCCATGCCTGCTAACTACTTACCTCTTGCGAGTTACATACCATTGTGTGCAATAAATGATTGTCAAATACTGCACTTAGTCTGGCGCCCCTCTCTCGCCTTTTAAAAGTAGATTGAAGCAGATCATACTGCAGGCCAGGTTGCACTGGTCAAGGAGTTCAGGAGCATCTGTAGCTGATGTCAAAAGCATGCTACATGTGGCGGACAACACAAGCCCAAATACTGTCGACAAAGGACTCTCTACTTCACCTCAAGACATTTCTTTATCCCCTTCCGGTAAAACCTTAGTCTTGATTTAGGAGATATAAAATCTGGTGCCAATATCCTGGTGATCCTGTAATTGGGATGCCGGGAAGACTAGTTTTCTATTAACAGACTATTAAAAGTGACTTTGTGATTGCCTGCTCGGAATCGTCTAATATGCTGAATCAGGGAACATCATGTACAGAATTTTCCCATGTATCTTACAATGATCATGTCACAGAGGCCAGGATAAATATGACAGACCTTGGGGAACAATGGTCAAAGTAATCCTGTGCAATTTCTAGAAGTGATTTCATGGATGTGAGTAAACAGGCTTTAGATGAGATTTGAAGGGTCAGTCCATTTAAAGCAAGCCTGTGTTCACTTT